TAATGGTGTCAAAAAGTTTACGTGAAGCTCGATAGCAAACATTTTTTCAGATTTTTATTTCTGTAAATATGCATGTTTGTAAGAATTAGAAATGCCGCATAAAAATTGGCTGAGCCATTTGAATTACTATTATATTTTAATAGATGCACCCAACTATTGATACCATTTATTTTGGTTGCCTATATAAAGTACCAACATAAAGTATTTTAAGCCAAAATAATGTCTTCAGGACAAATAGCATTAAACTACAAATGTCAGGTGATGATTAGTCTAAAATACGTTACTCATGTTATAAAAACAAATGTTGCTCTGATTTATGTAAGCATCCCAGACTAATCAGGAGAAAGCATAAGACTGCAGAGCTACTGAGGTGCCCTGTAAGGCATCTCAAGCGCATGTCAAACTCAACGAAACATTCATCTGATTAGGATTAAATGCAAAATGCTCCCAATATCAATAAAATCAAAATTTCTTCTGATAAAGAACATTGTACAACTGGCAATGAAGACTTACAGAGGTAAGGCATAAATTTTAATTTCCCTATCAATCAGAACAGTGAGGTTCTGTAAGTGTCCCCAGCTGGAGCAACAAGAGCAAAAGACCTGATGTTTCTAAAATGGAGCTGTCTGTTTAGGAAAAGGACCATATGACATAGCTATGATGGTGATGACTGCCTTGATGATTCAGGAGGTCCCTGATAGTCATACAAAACCTACGCTGTAGTAATTCATGAAACAGATTAGACCATAAAACTGGAAGTTCAAGAGCATAGCCACAGACCGGCAGAAACATTACACTTAACGCACAAAAATAGAAAGGGACTACAACATTTACCTCCTCCCCAGAGCTACCCTTTTCCCAAAGAAGACCAGCCCCAGTTTTTAGGTGCACCACGAAGAGCTGCACTGCAGTATGACCCGTGATTTAAAGAATCACTGACAACCTTCGGTGCTCTGATTCCGTCACGCAGATGAGCTTTTTCCACTATGCAACTCTGCACCACGACAGTGGCTATTTACTTACTGATCAACTGGTGACCATTTTATCTTCCTGATCAATCAACAGCTTCTCAATCAAGCTGAAATGGTAAATGCCAACCTATTAGATCAGTGGAACCAATTTGAAAAGATAAAACCAATCTGTCCTTAGATGTTTGCTTCTCTACACTAAATGCATCTCTTACATAAAACTTCAAAGCTCAGATATAACAGAAACAAATAGTTAAAGCCTGTTTAAAGTTTACCACAGCACTCAGTAAAGTTAAGAAAAAGTAGGGCTCTTCTAATGTTTCTGTACTGCATCATCTCTCTCCCCCTGCCCTGCAAAAAAGAATGACAACACATCTTTTGATGTTTTGAATTCTTCATGGTTTTTTATAGCAACATAACCCCATAGCAGCTTATTCAAATTTTTGATTTATTATGAAAAACAAAATAGTTTGGTATAGGAAATTTCAAGAAAAGCTTTGATTTTTCACCAGTAATTTCAAACTCCAAATTAAACTTTTGATAACTGTAAAGTGATTGTATTTTAATGACCTGCCTTTAAGTCACAACAGCAATTAACACAAGAAATATTCCTGGATGGTTTTTGCTGTTTTTTTTAAAGAGAAAATTACAGCAAAATATCTGGTTGTTCTAATCAGAGAAGCTGCAGTTGAAAACAAGGAAATAATAGTGTTCAGTCACATTACTGAACAGCTCGAGACACAGGAGCAAATGAACATACTGAGAACAGAAGTAACTTCATAGAAGTGCATGAAAGCATATTAAGAGCTTTTCACCAATTACTTAGCTGAGACCAACACAGTAGAACTTCTCTTACCATTCTCAAAATCACTTTTAAAAAAAAGAGAAAGGATCTAGATGACAGAAACAGAATAATCCAAGACTATTCACACATTGAGTTTATTTAACATTTGGAGTAAAACCAAGTCTAGACCAAAATCAATAACAAAACTGCCACTGCTTTTAATGGATTAACAGCTAGTAGTCCATTTAATTCCACTCATACCTATGTCTAAGCATATTAGCATACTTCTGCAAATTAATACAAAGATCGAGAAAGAAAAGAAAGCTAAAAAAAAAAAGGTTAGCATATACTATTGTACTTTTCTCAAAATGTAGCTGTTAGTACACATCAAATCATACTTAAAGTTAGTGCAGAAATATTGTTATTTGTGTTATGGTTTACCAATGATAATTTTCACTTAACAAAAAAATCCTGATCATGACATTAGATTTGAATAAGCTAAAGGAAAATAAATGCAAATGCAGTAACAGAGACATCTGCATCATAAGGTTAAAAGGTATCGTAAAGAAAAGCATCCTCAAGCCGACCCCTGAGATGATGTTAATCTACTCAAAAACTCCATAAATACTAAAGAAGGTATCCTTTTCTACCATTACATAAGTTTACAAATAATGATATTCATAACAATAATCAGTGAGCTGTTCAATGCAGTTGCAAAAATAAACTGTCCTGATTCCTGCCAGTCAATTACTGACATGCTGCTTGATCAATTGTCTTCTCTGAAAGATAAACAAAATGTGATTTAAGAAAGGAACAAGCACTGGGAGACATAAATGTCCTTGTACGCAGCACCTGGGTCAGAACCAATCCAAGTAGCTTACAAATTCAGACAACAAAACTATCATGGAGTTTTATGAACGATGTTTCTAGTAGAAGAAAAGCTGCTGTTTTCACCAGACTTTGTAGGTACTGATTTCTGTATGTCTAGATATTGTTTATGGCTACTGATTCAGCAAAAAAGAACTAAAAAAAGAAGTTACTAATCTGAAGTATGTAAATGATCCCACTACTGCAAAGGTAAATCCTTAAATACATGCATGAGCGTCTGAAACTAAAGCACAGAGACCATATAAAATGCTTTTCCAACCTCTGGAAGCTTGAAAATAGGACATGTTTTTTATAAAAACTCCTTTTTTGCTCACACCTCTATAAAAACCCAGTTCTTTCCTTCCATGTCCCCAGACTGTCTTCCCATTTGAGCTCAAGAAATTCCATACCTGTACTATACAATAAACTGACTTATCTTGCATTATGCAGGTTTTTTGCAGCACTCTATTCTGTAATACACTTCTTCTAGGACTTATGCCTATATTTCAAACCATAAAGCCACAGCAAGCAGATCTTAAATATTCCTTTAAGGTAAACTGCCAGAAAATTGTTTTCTCTCTCTCCAAATAAATATGTACGTAAAAATAGTAGGTAGATCAAACTTTGGTTGTAAAAACATCCACCTTCACAACTGTCCTTTTAAAATAGGTAAAGGTAAGAGAAATAACCTCATCTGGAAACTAAAAATAGCATGAGTGATTTCTAACCTCTTTTCAGGTTTTGCTATTATTCTCCTGGAATACAGTGACCTTATTGGCTTTTCTTATGTAAGTGATAATAGATTACCTGGCTGGATTTTTTTTTTTTTTTTTGCTTAACACAAGCCCTTTATGCATATTTTGTGCTAGACTGATCATTTTGCTCTCTGTTTTTATATTCAAGCTTTCACACATAGAATCACAGAATCATAGACACATGTAGTCGCCCACGCCAGAATGCAGAAGAAAGGTTTCTCTGCTATCCAGCCACATAAGCTTTTTACACATGCTTAAGACGCAGGTCACACCAAATACTGAAGACGCACACGAGTCGCAGACCACCACTGAATTAGTGCATTCACTCATCCATCGGTTTCCATCGAGTAGACCAGTCAGAACTCACTCTCAGGCCAGGGGCAGCAGGGAACGCACCATCTGTGCCGTACCACAGATGTGCTTAGCAGCCACAGCTGCAGGCCGGGACCTTCTGGCTGCCAAGCATCTTTCACACAAACCCATCCTGGGGGCCCAAGACAACAGATGCATGTTGTTAGGGACAGTAACATCAAACCTGACTGAATGACCACCTGCTTATTTCTCCCATCCCCAGTTAATCCAGACTCATTTACCTGTTGTCCTTTTTCACAACCAGTGCTCACAATGGATAGGGCAGGAAACACTTCCTTAGCCAGACCTACATTGAGTTTCTTCCTTTGAAGGCTCAGTTGCAGTGTATAAGTAGACTCTCACTCAAGTTTAAAGGAAATTATTCCAAGAGAGTCAGAGTCCTCATGCAGCTGTTGTCTTCTGGTATACACAGAGTTGTTTGTGACACCATGCAAGTACCCGAGTTACTTCTAAGTGACTTTCCACTTACTTGGAGTTACTTTAGAACAGCAACAGATGGTGCAAACAAAACACAATACTCTCTTTCAGAGCAAGATCCAACAATAGAAATGAACATGTCTGTCTCAAATAAGATCTGTGTGCAAGAAGTAAGACCTCAAAAGTGCCATTTGCACTCTTCCTTTCTTGTAAATTGGATCACAGTTTACCACCACCATCACATCTGATGTTTTCACAAGGTCGAGGACAAATGAATTCAGATGCAATCCAAAGACCAGTGCTGTGTATCTCATAGAATCATAGAATAGACAGGGTTGGAAAGGACCTTAAGATCATCTAGTTCCTGCCATGGCCTTCATCATGGGGCTTTGAGCAACCTGGTCTAGTAGAAGGTGCTCCTGGCAGGGGGGTGAAACCAGATGATCTTTAAGGTTCCTTTAACCCAAACCATTCTGTGATTCTGCAATTCTACAATTAATACCCTCAAAACAATCTCCAAAGATGCATTCATGAAACTTCTTTTTATACAGTAAGATTTTGTCACACAGTATTAAACATCATTAAAACCGGTTTCCTGTGATATATGGAAAAACTTCTCAGCCAAAAGGCAAAATCAGAAAAAGGGTACTTAGGTTTAGGAAAATGAGCAAATATTAAACATTGTGCAAAAAACAAACCAACAACTTTATTTTAATACTGTATTTGATTTGAAAGTTTCAAGCACTGTAAATCAGAAAGCAAAACTGCATTTTCCTTTCCTGAATACATCTATTTTCAACATGGAAGCCATCAATTCTTATGAAAAACAGTTATCATCTAGCTACTGCTGATAGCCTTTTCAGCTGCCAGTCCTTGTTTGGGTTTTGAGTAATCCCAAGGTCTCCTGTTCTCTGTATACCCATAGAGCTTCCGCAGTGCCACGCGGGCAGCTTCTTCCTCTGCTGCAAGCAGTGTTTCACCAGGACCTTCAGCTATAATCTTCTTATCGCTTTGGGGCAAAAGAAATAGAATTAAAACCATTTTCTTCACGAAATCCTGAGCACTACTGCCTACTGCGAGTAAGGGCTGCTGGATTTTTCTTTCTGCAACGTCTGAATACTGAAGGGAATTTCTATTTACACACAAATGTAAACAGTTCTGTTGGCCTTTCCTGCAAAGATAAGTGATTGTGTATTCAACAATGGAAATTCAAATCAGAAATGCATCCATTTCCTGGAAGAACACCACTCTGTTCCTTTAGATTTCTAACATATCACTGCTTCTTTACAGTGTTCAGTTAGCCCTGTTAAAAATATGCAAACTCATCACTCTGGCTAGCTTAAACAAAGAAGTGAAATGCTTCTGTCTTTTCTCCTCCACTGGTAGGAAAGCATTTTAAAACTTCTTTAAAAGGATTCACAGAGAAGTTCTCTGTGTTATGAAGTATGTACTCAGCTGTACTTAATCAACATCTGTGGGCACCGAATAGGAACATTTTGTGAAGAGATACCATGGATTCCAAAGAAAAACAATCAAAGTTCCTTTCATTTATATAAGATAATAAATCTTAGAAGGCACATAAACCAAAGCATGATAAATCAGAACCAATTAAGGCAATCTTCCTGTGCATTTATTTTCAGCTCATTAAGCAAAGCAACAATCATGACGGCTTTGGTGGAAGAAGGTCCTGTTCTGGTCCAGAGGAGCAATGTCACCCCTGGGCAACAGACAAGGACAAGCACCAACCATGCCCAAGACAAGCACAGCAGGGATGACTGGCATTTCCCAGGTCTTGTCTGGTTACAGGCACTCCTTGTCTAGTTTACAGTGCCCGTGATTCAAAAACTAGAAAGTTTCTCTGGAGTACAAAACAAGCCTCTCTTCAATACCACCTCTTTTAATGGTCTCTTTACCCTTCCCTAAGCCCTGAACAGAGCTCTGGTCCCTCCAAAGCCATTCAGTTATGCCATTCAAAAGTTCCTTTGCAGGTCACTCAGAACATACATGCAGACTCTTTTGTGTGCCCAATTTAGACTCTGAAGCCCTTTAGTCAGACTGTCTTTTTATGCATCATTACAGCAAGTTACGGCCAATGCTTTAATGACTGATTTTATATGGAAGTCACTTTAAGATTTCTTTTCTGTAACAATTTGACCTAAGGGCACAAGTAGAAAAGCTAAAGACCCTCTTCCCTCCTCCCCAGCTTAAATCCATTTCACTTTAAATTAATATTGTACTAACCAGTACAACCCAACAAAGTACAGCGGCAGAACCGTGCTGACTCCCAGCTGCCTGGTAATTCTTGGTTCTGGAGAAGAGATATTCCTCTTGGTCAATTCTTCCACTAGTAAGCCCATAGGATTTACAACTTTCCAGATCTCAAACAGGTCTTTTCCAATCAGCTGGGGGATAAAAAAATCCTAAACAAGAATATTTGGAAGTTACAATTAATGTGAAAGGTAACAAAGTCTTTAGCTTCTGGTGTCTCCTAATAAAAATACAGTATGAAGAGGCATTAATAAAGTTGACATGAATGGTGAAATTGCCTCAGTGCTCCATCACAGCTAAGCACAGGTAACCAGGGCTGCTATGCTCAGCAGCTCCGGGTCTGACTGAGCCACTGATGCGCACCTGGGGCAAAGTCACCCGCCCCACATGTAGGGAAGGCACAACACGAGCATGAGAAAGGAGCTCTAACAGTGCTAACACACAGCTCTGAGCACCACGTAAGCAACTCAGTGCTGCCTCCAGGCTAGAAGCTGTACGTCAGAAGAGTGCTGCAAACAGGTTGAAGGGAACGTGCAAACCCACCTGTTTGGATCGCTCTCCTGCCTGTTACGTACTTGCTCTTACAGAGACCTCTCAAGGGTCTTATAGCAGAAATAAGTTTTTAACAGACGTTTCTCCATCGCAAAACGAGAAATAAGTAAAAAGGATGACTGAAAGGACAGTAGCTGCTAGAGCTACTTTGTTACACTGCATTTTAATTAAACTTCTGTACGAAATATCTTTAGGTGCTTGCACTCCTGTGTGCAAAATCTATGAACACAGTCCCCACTGTAAATAAAATGCTTATTTTGTTTGGTGTTTTTTTGTTTGGTTGTTTTGGTTCTTTTTGGTTTTTTGGTTTTTTTTTTAATTGAAGATATGTGGCCTAACATGGAATAATCTCTTTACTCGATAGTACAAAGCATGGAATATAATGCTTTTCCTTCGCAAGTGTCAGCAAACACTGCAATATTATTATTCTATTATAAATCAGAAGCATATGATCTTATGTACTCGAGCAGCCTGTGCTTCTTAAAGAAAAACAAAACCAAACAACAGAAAACAGAGGAAAAAAGAAACATAACCCCAACCAAAACCCCATAAACCGTCCCCCCCCCAACAGACACCTCAGTGTTCAACTGTCTTCTTACAGGTATGGCCAAACTTCTGCCAATCTCCCTGGATCTCTGGCCATCAATGTTCAAGAAATTATTCTTTTTCCTTCCCCCCCCCTGTGTAATTTCTGATACCCTTAGATATTACTGTTGTCAGAACAAATATATATCACAGAATCACAGACTGGTTTGGGCTGGAAGGGGCCTTAAAGATCATCCAGTTCCAACCCTCCTGCCATGGGCAGGGACACCTTCCACTAGACCAAGTTGCTCCAAGCCCCGTCCAACCTGGCCTTGAACGTTGCCAGGGATGGGGCAGCCACAGCTTCTCTGGGCAACCTGTGACGCTGCCTAAATCTACCCTCTTTCAGTTTAAAGCCAGACTCACCCTGACAAAGATCCCCGTCTTCTCAGGCCCGCTGCTGCCGAGCAAAGCTCCTATTACAGCAAAGAACGTCCTCTGCAGCACATCTGCAGGGGCAGGGAACTCTTTGCAAAGCGTCAGGTCCTGTATAGACAGGTTTTGAGCCACGTAAGAAACAAGTTCCTGACTGGTAAGAAAATCAACAAGTGCTCCTATCCCCTCTGCAGGTAGCTCTGGGTAGGCACCTTCAAAGCACTGCATCAGGTAAGAACGTGAAAAAGACATCCCTTCTTCAGCAAGTTTACTGTTGTCTTGGAGATTAAGAGCAACTGTTTCTTTGTCTAGCCCAAGCTCCCGGCGTCTTGCCTCTTCGCTTTCAATGTAGCAGGAGTTAACAAAGGCAGTCTTCAGAAGATCCAAAGAAAAATTTTCATGTAGCCGGTGGCTAAAAGCTTGTATCTCTGCGTGGTAATCCCAGTTGGGCTTCTCTGACCTACACACGCGGAAAATGGAGCAAATTCAGGAACAGAACAAGAAGTTGCCCGCGCTGCAAGCATTATGTGTTTCAGACGATTAAAATGAAAGTCTGAAGACCAAAACCAGTATTTAAACCCCCCGTGTTAAACGCCGTCGGTTCCCGCATCGTCTTTCGACTGCCGGAGGACAGGCCCTTTCCCACGTTCAAACCCGTGAACCAAGCTGACCTGCGGAGCTAAAACCACTCTGCTCCAGAGCCTGACGAGAAGCTGCTTAAACGGCTCGATTTCACCTGTTTCGCGGCCGCTGCCCTCCCTTCCCCCAGCCCGTGTCCTGTCCCGC